AATTTATTAGGCATTTATAAACAAGATTGACTTTGATGATTGATCTCATTGATCAGTGTAAACTCATGATAATTGATCATTGCACTTCTTACCTTTAAAGTTCTTATCGTTTTTGTCAAACTTTTTAAGTGAGTTGACAGATGAGGCTACTACATATAACTACCTATCGCATATTATCTCTTCTCAGCCATCCTATTAAACAGCAAATAGCGCCCACCACATTGGTTACTCCTGACCAGCCTAATAACTACTTATTCCACTTGGGATCACTATTTGCACAATAATCCCATCATCGTAACATTTGATTTACAATTTATATTTTAGCTATTCGATACCATGCCGAATTTTCAAAGATTTGAGACAAATGCTATTTTCTTTAAAATTATTTTGCATCTCGTCATGCATATCTTTTTTACGATTTGATATCGTTATGTCTACGAATACTATCATTCTTTGCTGCAACCACAATGCACACATTGTCTTTGCAGTCTTAATCTCTTCTGAACTAACTCTTGAATATTCTGTTCATCTGTATCTCTACATTTTGCACTTTATTTCACAACCCTTCTGCAATCAACTGGAGGGTTCTCGTGAATCATATATTTGTAAGGTTCGGTGTAGGGAGCGGGATTACCGGTAGTTTCACTCTGGCATCATTGGTGTCTCGGGGGCGGGGTATTAAGGAGTGGGAATGATTTCTGATCGTAATCTTTTCGTTTGTGAAACAGAATTTAGGATATTTACTAGGTGAATTTCTAAATTCGATCTTTTGAAATGATACTTGTAGTAAAAATAGCAATGAAACTGATAAATGTATCTGTCTCATTATGATAAGCGAATTATCAGTGCTGAATTGAACTGTTTGTATAGTTGAGATCAATCTTAGCATTACTAGAGAATTGTGATATTTTCTTTTCAGAAATACAAATTTACTTTCCAGAAAGCTGTTCTTAATGGATTTGACCAGAATTTTGGATTTCAATCGACCAGAAAAGCCTACAGCCCTATTGGATCGATTACATAAATTCTTACCTGAAATTGCAACTGCAAATAATAATTTAAGTAATGCTGCAGGATGCGATATTAAAATATTTGCTGTTGAAGATGAAAGCGATGCATCCTCATCCACTGACTCGGACGAAGAATCAGAAGTGAATATTGTAGATTTACTCTTGCTGAGCCATTACGAATTACTTTACTACTAATCAAGTTCTATTTTTTTTTATGCGGCAAATAAAGGATTAAAATTTTCCATCCTAACTGAGTATTTAATGGTAAGTGTGCTTTGGTTAAATAATAAATTAAGTGAAGGAAAATTTCAGACTATAACGAAGCAACCCCAAATAGTAATGGATGTTACTACTTTAGTGGAAGATGCACCCAGTCGCATGATTATAAGTGATAGTGATTCTGATCTTGACGATGATAAAGAACAAAAAACTTTGCCGGTTGGATTCCGAACTGGAGAACCGATGCGAAAAAAATCGAAAAGGAAACGGCAATATTTGATGGAAGAGGTTGCCGAAGAAGATATTGCTTGTAAAGATATCAGCAACGACCAGAAAATAGTGGTAGAACAAGAAGAACTGAACACTAAACTGGAATAACTGTAAGCTGTTTTAGATAGAAATATTCTGTCGGTTTTGCTTTGTAAAATGCAAGGTTACAGCAAGGAGTTTGTTGAATTATATGTTGTTATTCATTTGTTGTTTTCCATTTTTTGTTAATCTAATATTTTTCCTGCCTCTCCATGAAGTTAATGTATCATTTATATCGAAATGATAATAGTTGCTTACAGTAACATTTGGCTTAACTTTGACTTATTTCCCAAACAAAAACCCTCGGGCTTATTTACCTGCTAGATCAACAATTAAATGAAACGTCAAATTAAAGAATGTGTTGATGTGCATTCCTTAAATGCTTTGCTATCTATGCGTGAACGTATCTGTTCATAAGTTCGTGATATGTGGAAAATGAGTTTGAAAATTCAGGCGTTATGGAAGCTGGTCCAGTAGTTATTTAGCATGAAACGTGGCAAATTATAAATGCCAGTTATTTTCTTTCATCTTCAAAATTTCATTAACAATGGGATGTGAAGTGTGCACCTAACTTGTGTCTCTTCATGTGGAATTGATTCATTTCTGTAACAGATATTAACTCGGATATATTCGACAACATCATTACTTTGCTTGCTATAATTAAAGCAAAAGTTATTTGTTCTGAAGGAATTTGTGTTCCGTGATTCCTACTGTTTCACTCTTGGTTAACGTCAGTTAAAGTCTAATTCATGAATTTGAAGTTAAAACCTTCGAATAGGAATTATTTGACAGTTTAATTAGCTACCAAATGTATATGTATGTGGCAAAACATCGAAAATTCAAATGAATATTTCTCTGGATGATAATACCTTCAGAGAAGGAAAAGTTCAATAAATATGACTGTTTACAGATTAACAAGAATGCGAAAATAATTTTACACATCGAAATTAAGAAGTGTTAGATGAAAATGGACAACCTGAAAGCAGTAGCTTTGTCGATTGATTTCCTATTTTCCGGTATCTGAGGAATTTACAAAGACATCCAGAAACTGCGAGCAATGAGAGTGGGAACGATAAGATGAAATTCTCCTCTGCTCTGCATCAAATTGATTGGTATTGAGTGATTGATATTCAAATTAATTGATCATTCGTCTGCTTGTTGCTCTATTCAGATGCACTCAGATGTGAAGTGTTTGAATGCGCCGCGCTGTTGTTTTACTCTATGCATCTTGTGCGCAAACGTGCAATTCAATAAAGGTTTTTAAAGCTATGGGAAGTGATTGCAACCGCTGTCACTTCATAATATCAACTTACTATTTTACTATTTTGTGCAATGATTCCATCTCAATACATAATCATCACATATACTGAATCCATCTGGATATGCAGTAGATTCTGGGATGATATCAAAGACAAATAATACTTTTGTCACCTTTTTGTTTCTACGGATATTTTTTACTTTTATTATACTGGTATTGAAGATATCAGTGCTGATAATGATTGATTAAGTTAGGAAGTAGAGTTGAGGCTAAAGTTGATTTCTTGATGATCGATTGGCGGGAATAATATCAAACTATGTCAACCCTAACAATAAATACTGCTAAAGGTAAAGATGTAATTCAAGATAGGATCATATATGCAAAGATGGTGAGGGAGAGGGAGAGGGAAGAAGATGAAAAGCAATAATCTAAACTTAAGTTCTAGAAGTGAAAGATGGTCAGCGGTATATCCGATGGTCATCCTTTGTCCATACATTACTTCCTCATAACATTCCAAATTATAAATGAATATTTGAAAGTTTTGGAAAATTTAATTAGTGGGAAAAAAAAATGATACGAATAGTATCTTTAAAATAGATGGTCGCATGAAAATTGCATGCATTTGTTCATCTTATCGGAGTGCAATAATGACCAATGGTTAGTTTGAGAAAGGTACGAAATCCTTTACATTCTGATAGTAATTATCATTATAATAAGTTAAGGCTTGAAGGATAAAGGATGCTTTTAAAGAGGAAAATTCAATTAGTCAAAATAAGTTTATCATTTTATGGATTAGTTAACATTTTGATGTAATCCTTAGCTTCATGAACATATTTTATACGCTGAACTTTTTTTTTCTTGATTTTTTTAATTTGTAGCAGCAAAGACTATGAGATTCAAAAACAATAAATTCTGTTAGTTTGAAAATAAACTTTAATCAAAACTTTTAACATTATCAGTTTATTAAGCATTGATAAGAATAGCTATCATATGTTTTCTACTCTTTACATTACCATTCTTGCAGATTACCGATTAGGAATCACTGCTTTACAGTATTACTTACTTGTAATATGGTATATAATTTTAATTCAGTATATTAAGAAGAAATATTAATTAGTAGCTGAAATGTATCGATCAAGATCTAAGCTTCTATCAGGTTTACATGATATTTTATTTGATAAAATTTTTTTCCTGACAAGCTTGTAATATTTTTTTTTTCGAAGATTTTTAAGAAATTAAGAGAGAGAGAAGAAAAAAAAAGAAAGATCCTTAGTCAGTAATCAAGTAATTAATCAAATTGTTTAAGTGATAGTCGTAATGATCATAACAATCACAAGCTGTAATCTTATATTTCAATAAATTAGTTTATCAATCATTTCTGACAAATAACTAATCATAGTCTAATCTATCAAATGAGAAATTTCAACATTTTTATCATTTTCGTTAAAATTTTCTTCAAAGATAAACTTAACATGTATCCATTTTCATGATATCACTAATGAAAGCTTTAGCTTTAATCATTGGGAAATTTGATATAAGTTAGATTTTCATGCTGCTTCATGCAAAAAAAATGTCTTAAGTTAAGCTTAGATTTATTTTTTTTATTTTTTTTCAACGAATTGAATTGTGTTTACAAATTTCATTACTTTAAACTAATGCATTACAATGTAAAGTTTCAATAAATTATCCAGAAATTGCAATCATCTCGAAGCAGTTAGCTAAAAAGAAAACGAAAAAAAAAAACAACCATTGATGATGTTGGGTTGGACTAGGCTAAGCTAGGCTTATTATTGTTTGCTATATTATGTATAGAGCAAATCACAAGTTTATATCAGTAATCTTTGGTGTTTTAAATTGAAAAACATAAAAAATTTGTACATTTTTTGATATGTTTGAATAATGAAATAATAGCATGATATGTTAAAATGGAATTCTTGGCTCATTAAATGTAACAATTACTAATCATTCATTGTAGGGACAAGAAATTATGGATACAGTAAGAAATGAAAAGCATAAATACAGCCAGTAAATGAATCGAACATTTTTTTTTTATTATCACCAAAATAGTTGAAAAGATAAGTTCAACATTAAAAGAAAGAAAGAAAAAAAGTTAAAGAAGCAAAAAAAAAAAAAAAGAAATGCTTTCTTTTAATTGGATTGAAATGAAATTTATGTTACGACCTTGAATTATATTTATTTCAGGTCTGAAATTAGCATTTTAGTATTAAATTAAACATAATTCAAAATGACCTGAACTAAAATAAATTATACGAAATTAGATTGAAATGGAATAACTAAGCTAAAATGATTTTGAATTGAGTTAAAATTAAAATGGAATAATTGAAATGAAATGGATGAAATAAAAAAAAAAAGTAGTTTTAAATAATATGAATTAATTTGCATAGCTTCTAAATAAAGAGATTGGAGAAAATGTGTATGTGTCGTAAAGTTCTATGTGATCAGAAATCAGATCAATACATATCAGTTCAATTAGATTGAGATATGTGTGTGTCATGAAATTCCATCCATTTGATCAGAGAACAGATATTAGTACCATTAAAAATATTGAAATAAGAGGAAAAGTTAAGCAATATTGCAATAATTATTCAATTAGCAATATTAAATAATTATTTAATTATTGTAATTACAACGATATGAAATAATTTATTGCAGCTATTAAAAATTATATAAAATACGTAGAGAGTAATTTTTAATGTTTACACTTTTCAGAATGTCAACCATTAGTCATAGATGTTTGCAAATTTAAATAAAAATTACAATTAAAGTCTAATCTAATTAAAAATTTTAAATGTTCCGAATTTAAATAAAATTAATGTTAACTTTAAATTTCGAAATGAAATTTGCAGAAAGAATAAATTTCATGCACACCTGTAATTTCCCTGATAAATTAATTATAATAATTAGAAATGCTATCTTAATGAAGTACTTTCTCAAATCGAGAATTTTCTTTTTGTTCCTCAAACTTTTCATCATTTTGATTGTCTAGAAAAAAATGATTATGTTAAATCAGACTATTCGTTATACTTGTACTACTAGGCTAAATATCAATATGTTTGGATCAAACTATTTGTTATGCATGTACTACTAGGCTTAATATCACAAATAAGCTATGCTATATTAGCCTATTTAGCACTAGCCTATTTAGCAATAGGCTAAATATCACAAATGTAACTGATTAGTCTTATTCAAAGCAATGAAGCTATATGAAATTTACTAAACGAAATTAGCATATTAACAATATTTGCAACATTTCGTAAATTTGCAATCATAAAAATATCCAAATAACACGAGAAATGACACCATATTTAAGTGATACTGTCACAAAGTAATACGAGAAATGACATCGTATTTAAGTGATACTGTCACAAAATATCCGAATAACACGAGAAATGACACCATATTTAAGTGATACTGTCACAAAATAACACGAGAAATGACACCATATTTAAGTGATACTGTCACAAAATATTCGAATAACACGCGAATGAATGATATCATGTTTAAGTAATAGATAATGATTAAATGAAAATATTGATTAGCATTAAAAATTGAAAGATATTGTAAGAATTATTGAAAATAGTTTTAATCTTGTCTTTCTTTTATGCACTTTAATTTGTCTTTAGGAAGTAAATATCCTTAGGAGAGACAAAACATTTCCAAAAATTGAAATCACATTCAATCTGTTTTACCCTCCAATCCATTTCCCATTCATTTGTTTGGCTTAGTAAGCTATCTAGCTAGTAAGCTATCCCATATTTATGATTAATGACTTTTCTTTTAAAAGAGAAAAATTTCCGGGATTTTATTACCAGCGGGGGGAGGGTGGAGGGGGAGGGAAAAAAAGAAAAACATTTCTTATTGATATGATATTTT